ATCGGCCCGCACACTTAACACTTCAGAGCAGAATGGGAGCGGCGGCTCGCACAGGACTCCTACCAATCTTCACATTTGATAATAAGTGGCTTCAAACCAAGATAAGAAGAAGTCTGGACAACAGCCAGGAGTATCTTTTTTTGTCAGGAAGTGTTTAGAGGAAGTCAGTGTTTCCCGTTCAGCTCCAGAGCGGATGAATCAGAGATACCGCAGCATCTCCAGCTTGCTGCCAGCCGACTCGACTTGCTGAAATCTATTCAACTTCTTATCGTGCCAAACTTCTAGTGGAACCTGACCGAAGACTGTATATAAAGAATCAATATAATTATGAACCACTGCAACCACCGGCAGAGATCATTTAACCCGCTGTTGCTGATTCTGATGGTTGCCATGTTGCTCTCTTTTCACCTCTGTTGAGGATTTCACTGTGCTGTATCGATCCGTCAGTATGCACAGGTTAGGTAGCACGTCTTTGATCAATAAATGAGTGGATGAAGTTAACATTTTAAGGACTATGAATAATCAAAAAACCACAAGATTTTATTTACCATGAAGGCTTAAACGAGCAGAACAAAAATGAAGCTGATTGGTCCATGAGTAGGCTGTGGGATATCAGTGGAGGACAGACACAATGGATGGATGTTTAGATGAAATGTTGGAAATAAAATCAACAATCAACTTGAGTTACAGTGTTCCTAAAAATAAAAAAAAACAACTTTGGCGCCCGCTGAAGGTCTCTGAGTGCAACTGCACTGTTGTAAAATACCGACAGGATTCCTCTAGAGGGAGCACCACATGAATCAGACGACGTAATAAACACTGAAGTAGAGCTGATCTGTCACCAGCTGTTTTGTGTGAAGCAGTGTTTTAAAACTGTACACATTTCTCGGGAGATGACCTCAGCTCGCTGTTAAAGTTACATAGTGCTGTAAATAGGCGATCAGGCCACTCTGTGGACATGAGAGAGACTCCATTCTCCCTGTTGAATCTTATCGTGCTATTTAATGCACATTTGGATTTGGTTGTGAGTGTTGTTTTATAGTTTCATATCTTAGTGTTTCATCCTCCTTCTCTTCTATTTCAATCACAGAGTTTCACTGTCAGATCTTCAGATCTTTTATTTCCCTGTGTTTCCTGATGATTTCTTCCCGTTGTGTTTCAGTGCTGAACATCACCAAAAACCTGACACTTCCTAGTGCAAGTGGGAATTAAAAAAAATGAAATAATAAAGTTTATTTTTCTTTCCTTCACTCAGTTTTAGCTGCAGGAAATAGTTTTTGACGATGACAGCTGCTGTGTTTTTTTTCTTCTTCTTCTGGCAGGTCATTTCAGGAAACAAGAAAGCTCCCTGAAACTCTGCAGACTGGGGGGGGGAATGCAAATCTGTTTACAGTTTTTTGTCTGAATTTTGAGCGGATTTTCCCTTTTTTAATGACCACCGAGTCCTGAGGGACAAGCAGTAAGGGGGGGTGCTGGACAAAGGCAGAGAGTGGACACCGTGTTGGGTTGCCAAGCTGGCCCGATTTGAGTCCCCGGCAGCAGGAGGAGGAGGACGACTGCCAGCAATATTTTACAGAAGTGCTGACAGCTCCCCACCAGAAAATGTGCTTAGAAACCCAGATAATTTCCTGCAGTCACCTATTTAGTTTTTTTTTTCTCTCTTCGGACGGTCTCAAAGGATCTTTTTATAACTGTGGAAACACATTTTAGGAAGTGGGCCAAGCTCGTCCCTCCATATGTCTCAGTGGGAGACCGAGTGTCTCTGTGGGCATGAAGAGACGCTGCAAAACTTACTGACTGAGAGAGAGAGTGAGATTAACGACGAGGCCAAAGACAGGAGAGGTGTGAATAAATAACAGAGGGGCGATCCATGAAGAGAGAGAGAGAGAGAGAGACACTTTGGGTTGAAAATGGAGTGAGAAACGGTCAGAGCGATCCGTCTCTCTCGATGTTGTTCCTCCCACAGGTTAGCGCTCTTGTTTGTCCCTCTGTGTTTTACCGTCATGTAGAGCCTCGACAAACCACCAGACAAGGTCGCCATTTACCTGCTCACCGTGTAATCAGCGGGGAAATGTTGAACTTATGGCCAGATTGCTGATGACGAGGCTGCCAGGTGTCGGCAGAGCCTCCAACAGAGATCCGTTAGAGGGTGGATCAGTCATCCAGTAAATGTGAATACTTTCATGTTTGCTTCAGTGTGACACTGATTAGTGCGACAGAAAAAGGTCTGATTTAATTTTACCTTTTAAGAGTGAATAGTAGAAGTACTCACCGGTGGCTTTGCTTATTTTGATGTTATCATTTGAATACTAATGTAAAAGGAAGAGTCAAGAATAAAGCAGCTAATTGATGATGGTATCGATATGGTGTCAATCATTAAAAGGAGATCTATTATACTAACTTGCACCAGTAATGATGTCAGTCTGGGAGTAGCATTTTGAGATGTGTAGCTCAAAATCCTCCATATTTATCTCATTTCAGATTCTGCCTGAAACACTTCATTTCAGCTACTGTCTCTTTAAGGCCCGCCTCCCCATTGTGCCCAGTTCCCTCTGATTGGCCAGCTCTGTTTGAAAGTCGCAGGGAAATTTGAGTGAGATGCTGCATTCATGTGGTGTCGGACACATCGGAAAAAACGAGTTTCCGAGTTGTAAAATGCACATGAACGCGTGCTCAAGTCGGAACTAACTCGTAAAACAAATGAGGTGTCCGACTTCCCGACTTGACGTCTTAATCGTCATCAAATGGGGGGCAAAATTTATTTTGTTTATGTTGAGATACTTTTAATTAATTCTGGAATTGCACATCAACATTTTGCTCAAATATAAGTTTTAAGAGTAACATTTCACTGATCTGAAGTGAAATCTGAAGTCAGAAAAACGACTTCCCAACTTGGAAACTTGGACCACCCGAGCAGCACATGAATGCAACAAGAGTCCGAGTGGGCGTGTCCTTGAAAGAGCTGCCGGGGTGGGCGTGTCCTACAACTTTGCTCTAATACATTAGCAGAACCTGACGCCAAGTCTTGCAAAATTCTAAAATATGTATGTAAATATGGATCAGCAGAATAGATCTCCTTTAAGCTTTACAGAGGATATCTTGGTGGTGCGCATTAATAATTATTGCTAGTTAAAGGGCTGACTGTCATTCATGTCCATGTGTCTTCACCTTGACACTAAACATACTTTATATTTCCATCCGTGTGAAATACTCGCACAGAGAAACCCAGCATCAGAATCATCAGAGCTTCATTTCATCTCATCATGTCGCCTCTTCAGTATTCAGACACATGCTCCCCTCAGAAAATGTACTGATTTCAGAACAGAAAGTTTAATCAGAGCGCTCTGATTGGGGAGCGATTCCTTCCATCTGTGCTGATGATAAAATAAATGAAAGAGAAATTTTAAATCAGGGAGCTGGTTAACTTTGTTTTTTCTTTGCCACCGTCTGTCTTTATGTTTCTCACTCGTGTATTTAGCAGATAATTTCTCAGACAGGAGCCATCTGTTGCCGCTTTAAAGCCCTCTAGTGCAACAAAATGTGATAATAGGGACAGTTAGCCAATAAAATAAAACTTCACACTTTAGTCTAATCTTCATTTTCGGTACAAAAAGCTATTTGAGAGTCTGAGTGTTTTTGTTTGAGCCAAAGGAGCAGTATGTAGCTCTGACACCTAGTGTTTAAAATGGGTACTGCAGTCTAAATTCTAAACATCATAGAGAGCTGTCTCCCCCCCCCCCCCTCTCTAGAGTTGATGCTCACACAGGTCACCATGTGGTGGACTCTGAAGCTTCAGTGTTTATCCAGCTCTGCATGGGTCTGTAAACCTTTCTGTGTTCTAACCTCTCTCCATTTTTCAAAAGCATCTCCAATATTGATCCTAGTTTGAGCACGTTTCTGCTCGTGGAGCTTATTAGAAACATGCAGAGGCTTTTCCTCTGTCGAGAAATAATGTCTCTCAGTCTTTCACTTCAAGTGTAGAATCTGTTCTAACTGCTAGGCTTATTAAAAGTTTTGAAGCTTCTTAATTTCATGGCTTTGCACTGGAGTCTCTCGTGTTGAACAGCTGATCTCACTGACTCCTCAGCCAACAAAAAGGAGCCGCAGATTTCTATCAAATCTCAGATGTTGTACCAACTTTTAACTTTGAGGCACTTCTGTGTATAATTGAAAATTACCTAGATTAAATAAGCAGTTTCACTAATGGATTCAAATAAGATGCAATTTTTTTTAATAAGCTCGACTTCATCTGAACAAATGGAAGGTGGATCTAACTCTCTGTCTCGTACACCACATGAGGGTTATTACACAAACCTCTGGATCCCCCCGTCCTGCTTTGATAGATTCTTAATGTCTCAGGGATTTTTGCGAGCAAAGATGATTTTGTACAAATGTATGACTCAGTCTGTAGGGAGCTGGGTTGGGAGCCAGTTCAAGTCCCGGTGCGGAACAAAATCTGGAAATTGGTCTTGTAGCTGGAGAGGTGCCAGTTCACTTCCAGAGCACTGCAACAACAGTTTAAATAAATTGAATTTCCACTTTTTCGGGACAAAAAAGTAAATCTTCTTCCTCTTCTTAGATCATGACTTTAAAAGGTCATGATCATGGTGGTAGTCCAGGTTGTGTAGGCTTTCTGCTGTGTTCTGCCACACTCACAGGATCACTTATTCTGCCAAACGTCAGCCGTCTGCAGCCTGACACTGATTGAGTAAAAAGGCAGCCACACTTCTTCTCTAAACTCTGAACTCTGTCACTCTGTCATTGATAAGCTACGGGGAGGAATGTCGCCCCTTTTTTTACCCATGATTCTGTTCTTTCTTCTCTTCTCGTAGTGATGGATCTTTCTGATTGAACGAACATGTCACTTCACCAGCCAAGTGGCCATTTGGCTGCTCTGTCTGTCCCCTCGCTGCATCTGTCTCCCCCTTATGGCCTCTCAACCCCTTCCCCCTCTTCTCACCACTTATCCTTTTTACTCTTGGTCTGTGTGTGCAGGGAGTTTTTTGGCAGACACTGACGGACAGCTGGACGAGCCAATGACAAACTGTGTGGACTTCTAAACGCACGTCTGCAGGGTCCCCCAGTCAAACCTACAGGGGCGAGCAGCCCACTTAGTATGTGCACGTGAACCCCGGATGAGCGGCAGCACTTTTTTTATTCCCTGTGAGAAGAGGACGCCCCACCCCCTCCCCTCCCTGCTGAAGAGGTAAGCTGCTCTTAAGTTTACACATCACATTTGATGCTTCTTTGGCTACCTTGTTTACATCGCCCGGACGGCCAGCTGACTCCTCCCCTCGAGTATAAAAGTTGTTTAATTGAGGGACTAGAGAAAAGAAGAATAACATACTGTACTCACTGCTTAACTGTGTTTCTAGATCACGCTCATTTCAGGTAAATTTACATGCAGTGTGAAGATACCAGCATAATAAAGATCACTAGCATTAGCATGCTAACACAACAATGCAGCGGGAGTTGTTTTGGTTTCATGCTGGTGCTCAAGGGCGACATCTGCTGGATCAAAAAATCACATATAAAGCCTTTAAAGAGGAGGGGTCAGAGTTTGGGCTTTTTGACTACAGCGGGCTGAATCGACTTTTTGAAGCGATTCAGACACTAACACATGAACAATATGTGTTTATTCCTCCTGGTATTCCCCTTTAATTGAGAACTATTTGAGAGTGACCCTTCTTCACTCCTTCTTACTGCTACATTTCCACTCTCCACAGATCTGTGAAATACCTCACACCTTTGAAACATTTTTACACACAGGATGATAACAAAGTCATCGACATGCTGCAGACTCTCCTGCTGTTTCTCTTAACTTGAAAATATGATCCGCTCCAGTCATCCTGGGCTGCTGGGCAAAAAAGAAAAAGAAATGAAAAACCCCCAGGACGAGCTTTTATACCCACCTGACATTCATGCTTTTTTCTGCACGACATGTCACACCTTTTTAAATGTGTGTTTTTTTTTCAGCGTCCTGGGCTTTAACTGAAGCTGGAAATTTAACATAAAAAGACGCATTTAAAGGCTCATAAATCTATGGCATGATGTGATGGATTCAACGGCTGCAGTTTACCTCACTGACGCCTTTTACACAAATGCATAATAGAAGAAAAAACATCTGAAACTACTGGCAATTAGAGTGTGTGTGTGTGTGTGTGTGTGTGTGTGTGTGTGAGACAGTGACTTAAGCTAATGCAGCCTTAATAGCCACATTAGTTTCCATCTGACTGAATCATTTGGATCAACTCCGACAAGAAAATAGGTCCATTAGATAGCTATAGATCTCATACACACACACACACACACACACACACACACACACACACACACACTGGAATGAACCTCAACAACACATCAACCCAGCGTGCACCTACACGATTCATTTTCTCACAAAACACACCCTGCACACAAATGTTCACTTGCAGTCTGTCTCTCCTTTGTTACTTTACACACACACACACACACACACACACACACACACACACACACACACACACACACACACACACACAAACACACTGTCATTGAAGACTTTTCTATCAGAACTAATTTGCGGCGGCCGCTGCGTCGGCTGCGTCTGCGACAGGAGTCTCCTAATGAGACGGAGCGCTCGCAGTAATGGCAGGTGTGGGTCTTGAATCAGAGTAACAGTAATGAGATGAAGGGCGCCTAATGGTCACACCGCAGAATAATAAGAAGTACAAACGCAGGATGAGAGGCGCAGTAATGAGAATGCAGGCTGGGACACGATTCAGACCAACAGCAGATTCACAATAGGAAGGCGATGAGCTGCTTCTGTGAGGTTTACTTTAATGAGAGAGGAAGAGGAGCTGTGACTCTTTTTCTTTGTTGAATATTTCACTCTACAGCTTAAAAGAAGGACCGTTCTGCTATTTTAAACATGTGATCTAAATGACTCAAGGGATCATTAAAGATTAAAAGGATCTGAAATTGCTTCAGTAGATCGCTGCAGATGGCAGCTTTGAAACGGGCTGTGAAGTTTTGCTTATAGCTACATCAGTATCTTCTTTTCAAAACACATTTTTTATCGTAAGGCCTTTCATCCATGTTGTTTTATTTGTTTTACTGTTAGCTTCCAATCTCTTGTTTCTCTTTTCTCTTTCATTGGATGATTGCTGCACTGTTGTTTTATTTTTCATGCTTTTTTTGATAGGATTTTATTGTTTTGTATATGATTTTTGGGATTTATTTTTTTTGTAAAGCACTTTGTGACGTTGGTTTTGATAAGTGCTTTATAAATAAACTTTATTATTATTATTATTATCGACAAATTCAGCTGGAAACCTTTGTATGGTTACAAGGTCAACTCAGCTCCAAATCTCGACATTTGAGTACAAAGCATTGAAAATATGATGTGCATAGTGACTACCCTCTACAGGTTGAAACCCGACTCCTGCAATTACATTTCACTATTGGCTGAACTGCAGGCAGCTGACGTATTCAGCTTCAGTCACCAAACCCATTCACCATTCACCATTCACCAGTCCTCTCCTGACTCCTCAGCAGTCTCTGTCAGTGCTAACAGTTCAAACTGATCCAGGTAAGAACCATCATGGTCTAAAGGCATTTTCTAAATTCCAGTATAGCTGCCCTTCAGCTGAAACTCATGGGTTAAATAATCTTTTTAAAGTTAGTCTTTAGGACCACAATAAATGATATCACAAGGATCCACTGGAACGCTGTAGCGCTGGCCGAGTTTTAAGGGTCAATAATACCTTCCAATGAAATATCAGCACACGATAGACTGAAGGTCAGCTGGCACATAATGACCCGGGGCAGCAGTGGTGGAGGGAGGAGACGGCCAGCTGCTGGCAGGCCGCTCGGCTTCACTGAGTCTCCCTCAGAGTTGCTTTATAACTCTATTGATCAGGACGGAGCAGTGGAGCGGACAGGCCTATTAAAGGCACACGCTGTTAGCCGCTGTGTTCTCTCTGTGCTCGTTCAGCATGTGCACAGCGCTGAGGTAGACGGGCGGGTTCATCCTCTGGTTTTTAAATCTACTGTACTCTGCACAAAAAATCAATCTGACCCCATGAATCCTGCAAAGAACTTTGTCTTCTAACAAATAACAAGGCCATGCATTTACAACTTTAATCTAGAACTAGAAGATGACAAATAACTTCACATCATGTCGGCCGGCTGACTCCTCCCCTCGTGTATAAAAGTTGTTTAATTGAGGGACTAGAGAAAAGAAGAATAACATACTGTACTCACTGCTTAACTGTGTTTCTAGATCACGCTCATTTCAGGTAAATTTACATGCAGTGTGAAGATACCAGCATAATAAAGATCGCTAGCATTAGCATGCTAACACAACAATGCAGCATGAGTTGTTTTGGTTTCATGCTGGTGCTCAAGGGCGACATCTGCTGGATCAAAAAATCGCATATAAAGCCTTTAAGCAAAATATTTTGTCTCCTATAAGTTAATTGCAGCTACTTATTTTAGCCAGTAAATGGCATATTCCTGTATGTGTTAGCATCAAGCTAACTAGAAAACTAAGATATAGATCCCGGTTATCTGCGAGAAATTGTGCCACTGATCATCGCCATTGCTTAAAGGATGGGTTTATACCCAACGCTAAAAAATGTTTCATGACAAGTCAACGTCCTGCAAGTAATTCAAAATTTCATGAGCGGTTTGATTTCGTAGCTGAAAGAAAAGTCAAAAAGGGAAACACTGCTGTTTGATTGTTGGTAATATGGGTCTAAAATGAGATTGCATTTTGTCTGTTGATGATATATTGTGTAAAATCTTAATCCCTCAGACAAATGTATCATAACCACATTGTAACTTGACCTCTGAAATGTAACCTGCAGTGAATAATAAGCAGCAGACGTTTTGAATGTTGTAAATGTGCTGAGTTACCTTCCACCTCTGGATGTAGGAGACGCTAATCCTCCAGCTAAAGGCTCATCAAAGTGTGCACATTAAACATTTGAGGTCCTGCTCTTTTTAAACCTGCTATGATATTTAACGTCAGCAACTTCAGTGTTCTCGCTCTACATTTAATGCCGCCTGTGCATAAAACTTGCTCTATGAGTTGTATTGTAGCAAGAGGCTACACTATGTCAATTATATTAGTGCTTTTTCAGCAATAACACACATCCCGTTTTGATGATGGAGGAGCGAGAAAAAGTGTCCCATATGGGCGATAACTCCCATCACACCCCCCCGCCTGCAGGGGAGCGCCAGTGAGGAGCGGGAGGAGAGTTTTAGTTCTAACACCGCTGCTGATGGACTTCACAAGTAATGTGTCAGCCTCCAGTCTTCCTTAGTCATCTCTTAGTTTTAACAGTTTCAGGTGTTTTGTGTCTGGATGTAAGAACTGCGTGATATTCCAAAAACCGTCTGCATGAGTCACTGCAGAGATTTCCTTCTATACAGCACTCAGAGCCTCAGTGAGGTCAGCTGCACCTTTCATTGTCCCCGATCTGATCACAAACTGACCTGTTGCTCTTAGCCTTGCAGCTTCAGAGGCCTTACGTCATGCACAGTTTATCTAGTTTGAAGTCTTGTGTTATGTATGAAGTCTTTGTTGTAGCACCAGTTTTAAGGTCTTTTAACCGTTAAGTTGTCCAGATAGATTTTCCAAATAAAGTCGGGGTAGCATTAAACCAAAAAACATTGTAACCTGTGCATATTAAGTAAAGCTAGCTCAGACTCATTTAACATTTAGTGTTGCATGTTTCAAAAATAAAAAACCCATCTGTAAAGGAACTATGTGCGACTTTTTCCAGTCGATGTCGCCCTTGAGCACCAGCATGAAACCAAAACAAACTGCTGTTTGGCCACGCCTCCTCCATACTGAAGCCTCCGCTCTCCTACAGAGACACACCTCCAACCAACGAGTTATGAATCAGAACGCACCGTAATGAAGCACCATTAAGCGCAAGGGGCGGACAAAATTGTTCTTTGCTCAGGCTGCAATCACCTGTGTCCTGCATTGTTGTGTTAGCATGCTAATGTTAGCGTTCTTTAGTTAGCTGGTAGCTTCACATTGTTGTGTTAGCATGCTAATGTTAGCGTTCTTTAGTTAGCTGGTAGCTTCACATTGTTGTGTTAGCATGCTAATGTTAGCGCTCTTTAGTTAGCTCATAGCTTCATGTTGCATGTAAACTGACACAGAATGAGCGTGATCTAAAAACTCTTACTAACATCCAAATAATCAGTGAGTAT